TAGCTTAACAATTTCTCAATTTTTTTTTTTTCAGTCTCTAAAACTTCTCTTCTTCTTAAATCATTTCCTTTATGAGCATTTTCAAATGGTATAAAATTCTAGTAGGATGGGGTTAAGGGACGAACTAAGACAAAAAATGATGGGCATGTGACACATCAGTAAAGAAGGGTAAGTGAATGAATCATAACCACATTTAAACGAGAGCAATCTTAAGATATGATGGCTAAAAAAACATAAAATTTACTACTTGTACCAATAAGATGCACCTTTATTTTTTATGGCTTAATCATAAGAACTTTAAAGATTAATCGTGTTCTACTTGGAGAAATTCTATGTTGAGTGACCTCTTGAGAATTTTCCTATGATGCATGTTAGGGGGAAGAAACACACATTAAAAAGATCTTTGTTGGTATGTGATAAGATAAGGAATCATATAAAGAAAGTAAGATTTGGATTACCTTGTTGATCGAATATATTGTTTGAGATTCGAATCACTCCACAAGCAAGATCGGTCATGTCTAGCTTGAATGATTTTTGTTCATCAAATATCTCAAGGCAAGAACACTCGTTTGAAATTCGAATCACTCCACAAGCAAGATTGATTATGTCGAGTTTGAATGATTCTACATACAATCTAAACTACATAGAATTGCAAAGAAACTTAGTCATTAGCTAAAGAAAACACAAATGCTCATTTTACTCTATTTTTCAAGTCTCTTACAAATACAACATACATCACCTTATATAGCTTCAAAATGAAATTATTAAAGACATTCAAACAGTTGTGACATTCATACTTAATGGTCATAATTAACCATTATGCAATTGTAACCTATAATAAATAAAAAGTCTTAAAATACATTAATGAAATACAATGACTCTAAATTACTTTAAATTGTAATCCACCCAAAATTTATAACATGAATCTTCATTCTTGTTCAATGTGGCATGAATTGAAATATCTTTTGATAATTTCAACAATATTTTCTTCACATCTTCATTGGAGCATATTGTATGATTGAAGTTCATATCAGTATGTGGTGATAGCCTTCACTCTTAGAAGCAAGAAGTAAGTAATGTGACCATGTAGTAGGAGAATGTCGATGTCGAATCTGAATTTTGAATCCTGATTCGAATCTTGGACATGAGGCGTTATGCATCCCCTTTCAAGGTTCAAAGATGAAAATGTCGGTGTTGACTCTAGATTCAAAATCCTGATCCAAATCTTGGGCATGAGGTGTTACGCATCCTCTTTCAAGGTTCAAAGATGAAAACGCTACTATACTTGTCTAAAAATGGAGCTATAACGTAAATGCGAAAAACTATCTAATGTGACTTTATTCTATGACCTCCTCATTAGGCACGGTCATCCATCCATATGGCCCTTGCCTTTAGTTGAAAAATAGATGGACACATGAAAATTTAAAAATACTCAAAGAACCTTATGGTTGAGGTTGAGAAATGCAACCACATGCAACATACTTCATGTCTAATAGGACCTACTTTTCAGGGACTGTTTCTTAGACTCTACTTTTTTTTCCAGGTACGTTTGGATGCATAGTACTTCTCTACACACAGATTATGTGCACTTGTATAAACCCACTAAACAAACTCGTATACTATTCCCTAGTCTTGACTATGGGTTAGCATACGCTCGCATTCTAAAATATCAACAGAAAAGGAAGGAGCGTATAATAATATCATGGTGTACGTGTTTGTACGTAATATACTAGCGAGTAATCCACACTTGTGTGACATATTATATGCATGAAGTCCCGCATTGAGAATCATGGTTGAATAAGATGAGACAAATAGTACTTACTTACTTATCATGACATAAATGTCTTATGAGATGTATATCGATATTTCTTTTTACTACTTATCTTAGAAATCTCATGTAAGGCACTTGTAACAACCCTATTTTTTTACTACTAAAATAAAGTTGTCATTACATGCATGACATGCCTAATATGTGCGGAAATATATTTAGAAATATTTACATGTAAATGATGCCATGAACTTAAACATTCACAACGTTCGTTTCAAATAAAAAGTAAACATCATTAGAAAAGTGAATTGGAATAACAACACTTCAAAAGAAGTGCATACGTCGTGATCTAGCCTAAGACTATAACTTAAATGAAAATGCAACTAGCCTGACTTTATTTCCATAGTTTTCACAACAATGTCGTCATCTATATATGAGTGTCTTATATTTATATGAAAAAGAAGTAGCACCTAATGTGAGTATTTGAAAATACTTAGTAAGTAGCCTCACTATTGTGGTCGAAAAATGTAATAACATGCAATTATGGTAGGACCTATCCTTTCATAAAACATCATGGCCTTAGTCTCTACTTTCCAATCTAGATGGAGTTGAATGTGTAGTACTTCTCTACACACGGCCCATGCATGCGCACACAAATCCATCAGGTGGGCTCATATACGTACCCTTGGGCCTACCCTTCGGCTAACATACACTCACGTTGTCGGAAGTCAGAGAGAAAGGAGCACGCATAATATCATGGTATGTAATATCTTAGTGTACACGTCCATACTAATCTTAACGGTAAAGTATCTTGATGCATGCGATACACAAAATGCATGAGGTTCGTAATATCAAATCATGACATATTCTTATGATGTAAGTTATACCTCCATTCTTTTAATAGTATAGCATTTCTATAAGACCTGCATACATATATTGAACATATCTTTTACGATTAACATACATGAACTTAAATCTTTTGTCTACTCTAAATCCTTCACATTCTTACCTCGACCATTACACGACCTCATTGGTGGCTTGGACTAACTTTGGTCCTAACAGTTCACGTTTTCCTACCTCGTCCTAGCACAGTGTGACCTTTATTGTTTCAATAATAACAACGTCACACCAATAGTCGTATGATATATGTGGTTGTAAGTGAATTCCATAAGATGTAACGTGAAACCCAAGAGTATTTAGTGACTTCGATATAAGCCAACCAAATAAGTGAACTTATTATTAGCACGCCTTTGGACTTGGTTGGATGACTTGAGTGATGTATGAATGACACGTGCCCTATGACCCATTTACAAGCCTAAAGGATATGTATACGAGCCCACTTAGTAAGTTCGTGTGAACGTGCGTTAATCGTGCAAAGAGAAGTACTACACATCCAACCTTACATAAAAAAGAAAGAAAGTAGAGACTAAAGAACCGTCACGAAAAAGAAACCTAATTAATAATTTGAAAAATCACTTTCCTTTCCACTGAAGCTGAAAATATTGGGGTCCATGTGGATTTCTACCAAATAACATAATAATGTTTTTTTTATAAATAAATAATAAAAAAAATATCCTAAGATTCCCTTTTTCCATCAAATCTAATTGCTGCACCCTACCATATGATTCGATATTAATTTGCTTACAATTGTTTCAAACATCTTAAATTATTAAATTATATGATTAAATACGAATCTATGGTTTGATCTCAAAAATAATTATTAACCATCATATCTATTTTATAATTATTTTTAGTCTAAAGTTTATTATAATGACAAAAACTTTAAGATGAATAAAATATGCCAACCTTGCAATTATAATCAATCAACCTCCAAAATTAAATGGAGATTACTATGATTATAGTCTTATCGGTACTATGTAAATTAAACGCTTTCACATATAAACAATTATCACGATCAAATTCGATAGGTGATTTCGTACTTTCAATTTTTCTTAAAATTATTTATTTTGTGATAGGATAGTACGAGGGTCGAACTAGCTAGTAAGCTATCAATTGTTCTATTAATTTAGAATTATCTGGTGGGGGAGAATAAAATAGTGAATTTAGTTTTAATATTGTCCCGACAAATAATTGAGGTGGGTAAATATATTTTAATTGGGTTTTGTAATAAATTTGAAGAAAAATAATAGTAAATTAAAGGTGAAATTGTAAAAATATGGGAAGTTTTTGAGGTTTTGGAGCAATTCATTGCATACCCACTAATGAAGCTTCCTATCATAGGCAAAGGTGGAAAAGGATAGTGTTTGAAATCAAATCAAGCATGAAACTCATTAGGGTTTGTCCCCTTTTGAATTAAAAAATATGCACAAAAAGTTGAGAATAATGGATTTGATTTTCACTTTTTTCAAGATCTTCATTTATGGGTCATCTTCATTCTTCAAATTTTAGAACTGTCTTGCCCCAAGTTTCCAAATGGAGATCAACTAAACATGTGAGGAGATATTGGCAATTTGAGATTTTTGTTTCGATTTTTCTTTAGACATGTGAAATCGCTTGTGTAATCGTTTACAATTCATAAGTTTTGTACCAAATAATCTAGGAGTGAAACTGGTTGGAAGTCGAAGATCTGATCGAGCCTCAAGAATGGTAAGAACTGTTATCTTTCACAAGTTACGTATGAAATCGAAAGAAATTAAAAAAAGTAGAAAAATCGTGTTGTTTCTGGAAATTAGAAAATTAAATGGGATTCTTGAAGTAGGTGACTCCCATGAGGTTTGAACTCACGTTGTGTATCACAATCATACTATGAAGAGAGTAAGTTGTGTCCTCACATGCAGATAAAACATGGTGGTGACATGGTAGTTGATAACTCTCCAAAATCGAATTACTTCAAGTTTTTTTTTTTTTAATCAATACTTATGTATAAATACTCACAATTTTCTCATTAGTCCTCGAATAGTAAGTGAAAATAGGTTCAAGATGCATAAATTTTAATCTGAATTAGCATTGAGCCTTAAATGGGAAGAGAGAAACAATATAGAAAGGAAAGGAACCCAAAAAGAAAGATTGAGGGAACAAAAGGAAAAGAAAAGATAGAATAGAAAAGGGCCAATCTGTACCAAATTTAGTGTCAATCGGAGATGCTCGACAACTTAGATTTATATTTATATATAAAAGTGGTGAGGTGGGGTGAGATTAGAGATGAGAAATGATCTGTGAAATCTGTACCAGCTTCTCATTTTTCAGCAATACGGGTGGTTCCCCGCATAAGTTTGGGCCTATGGGTTATGGGTTATGAACGTCTCTGGCTCCCACGTTTTCCAAGTTCTTAATCTTCTTTGATTTTAGGCACAATTGGGAGTGGTTAATGAGTGGGTCGAGGTGGGCTCAACCGATGTAGAACTGGCCCCATCATTTTCCCTCTCCTCTCTTCCTTGTTCAGCGCCACATCCCTCCTATGACCATCTTCGGCGACCACCTCGACGCGACGCTTGCATCTCTGATCGTCCTTTAGCAACGTTGACGAGCATTCGTTAAGTGGGGGTGTACCCAGGCTAGCGAGCGACGGGCTCTCTCCCTCTCGCCTCTGGTGCGAGCAGCAACACACGAACGTTCTGGCGATTGGAAATTTCCGACCAGCGGCGACCCGATCCACGGCACCCACGCTCTTCTGCGATCGATCTCCTCCCTCTCTTACGGTGGCGACAAAGCTGTTTAAACACCTTCGAAGACATTTCGTTAAGGATTGAAGCTGTTATTGTGAGAAACATTGGGTAACAATCACTCTAAGCCCCTTTCGGACTTTTTTAAGCTTTTCAGTTTATGTCCTCTGTTCGTTGTATGCTTTGTATGTTGCACGCACTGTTTGATAAATATGATTTCAATTGTATGCTATTACAAACTGCTATGTTTTCTAGTATGATGTTTACTTATGCCTTTCTTATGTTAAATATGCTTTTATGTTGAGATTTTCTGAAACTCCATGATAGTTTGATGTCTTTGTCAAAAGCATGTTCATGTGGTTACTTTGCTTGAAGCATGTTTTAGAAAGCTTGTTCTTGGATGTAGCATCTCAATCATATAATATGAACTTCAAGGAAGTTGTAAAGAAGGTTGTTCAAATTACTATAAGATAAAGTTAAATTACATTAGGTGAAGTCAAGTTGCAATTAATGTCACATTAAGAAGAATCAAGCTTCATTTGTGCAACAAGGGTTTCAAGATACTTCAAGTGAGGCTTCATTTGTTCTTAGATGGTTACAAGTTTAAGCTAGATGAATGAAATCTAGATTTACAATGTTTCATTAATGCATTTTAAGTTTTGAGACTTTTTATTTACTTTCTTGTTACATATGTTACATTTACATAGTGACTAATTATGGTCATAAAGTATGAAGGTTACCACTCTTGAAATGTCTATGGAAGGTCAAAGAGTTTTATTTTTTAGGCTACATGAAAACATGTATGCTACCTTTGTAAAGTAGACTTGGAAAAGGTAGTAAAAAGAGCATTTCTGCTTTCTTTTAGCAAGGGGTGAAGTTTCTTTGTCAACCTATGTAGTATAGGTTGCATGCTTAGAATCATTCAAGCCTAACATGACCGATCTTGCTTGTGAAATGATCTAAATCTAATCAAGTTTTCTTGCCTTGAGATATTTGATTAACAAAATGATTAGAATCTTATTTTCCCTTGATGTGATTCCTTATTGTCAAGTCTTCGAGGCTTTGGGTATAAATGGTTTGGGTTGCTCGCTCAAGGCCTAGGGAATAAATGATCAACGATTGAACATTGAGTTCTATATGGTAGTGTTGAGGCCCTATGTATAAATGTTTAAGCCATGGACATGCCTCAAAAGAATAAGTCTCAAAGAAACGTGCTGTGACGTTTGATGCATGTTGTATGTTGTTTGTGTGACTCCACAGGTGGAAGCTAACAATTGAGTGAGAGATGTCGTACTTGCTGCCGCATCTTCATTCAGGATGGGCTGTTGACCAGGCAATTCTGGCTGAAGAAGAGCGCCTTGTGGTCATTCGTTTTGGTCATGACTGGGACGAGACTTGTATGCAGGTGTTGATCTTTGAGTGTTGGTGTATGCATTAGGGGTTGTCCGTTCATGGTGTTTTTGGTTGGTGATTTTGATGCAGATGGATGAAGTGTTGGCATCAGTAGCAGAGACGATCAAGAACTTCGCAGTGATATACCTTGTGGATATCACAGAGGTTCCTGACTTCAACACAATGTACGAGCTGTATGATCCATCCACTGTGATGTTCTTCTTCAGGAACAAGCACATAATGATAGATCTTGGGACCGGAAACAACAATAAAATAAACTGGGCACTTAAGGATAAGCAGGAGTTCATAGATATCATTGAAACAGTGTATCGTGGAGCAAGGAAAGGACGCGGTTTGGTCATTGCACCAAAGGACTATTCAACCAAGTATCGCTACTAACATGTTTTGCTGCTGCTGCATCTGCTACTTCTTCTATGTTTTGGATAAATTTGGTGTGTTATTCTTAAGCTCTAATCGTTCATTGTTTGCAATCATTTCTACGATTATAACTAATTTTCATTTTATACATTTTGATTTTGTAGAGTATATATTGATAACAGTGGAAATAAAAGATTCAAATACTACACAGTCGGAATCCAAAGCTACCAATGGACATTTCTTACAGGTTTCATGTGTGTTTTATACTTCCAATGTCATTACGCAAAGACATGTCATGACTAACTTATGCCAGAAGTTATTTAAAAACTTTTTTTTATTTTTTATTTGTCACTTAAATATTCATTAACTTACTATTAAACCAAAATCAAAATCATGTTAAACAAGCGGTCTACAGAAAACATTATTATGCTATCCTAATCAATTATGAAAACATGATTAAAATGTGAAATAGACTGTCCATGTCTTCTGGATGCATAGCACTTTTCTCTTCTAGATCCAGATAAGGGTGGATGCAGCTTAATTATATGTTAGTGTATGCTCACGCCATGAAATATTTATCCGTGTATGAATCACAAATATTAAGATGAAATTATGCACAAATAAGCAACAACATGTATGTAATAATAGTCTTATTATAAAAGAAGTAGGGTCAGTATATCTTTACCCATGATAAAAGTTTTAGTCTAAAACCTCATATCGTGTCTAGTGGTTCATGATTATTGTGAATACCAATAATTAAACATATATGCAAATCGGGTAATTTCGTTAAGGAAAATAAAGGCGGCTATCGAGTTTGTAATTAGAGGTGGAAGCAATGATCCATTTATTTTGGTTCTTTTTCCCCACCATTTCAATCTATACTTCCAAAAACATACCCCATAACAAGTGTCATGTCGGTTCTCTTTTCCTGTTAATGTTCGTGAAAAAAAATGTTTACTAGGGACAAATTATTTGTCCCTTGCCATGTTTGGTAATATATATATATATATGATTTATTTTATAGATGAAGCTACACATGCATGTATCTATCTACATTCCCATTAATGCATCTTCCGATCATTGTATGTGCACTCTTTTTCTTTCTTTTTTCTCAAAATATTAATTTTTTTTTTGTATTTATTAAAAAAAACTTATATTAATATACTTTTTCATACAAAATATTATTATTATTTTAATTTGAAAATTGATCATTTGGCAATAGAATCTCAAGTTATAGAAATTATATATATTTTTTTTTTATTTTTTGTTGGCGTTGAAATTAAATTATCAACCGACATAATCCAACATTTCAATTTTTTTATTCAAATTATTGTTGTAAATATTTCTGCAAGTGTTCCAAATAAATCAAATTTCACACCAATTTAAATATGGTAGGATGTCGGGTGTTTAAAAATGTCCTTAGATTAGGGGTTACTTGGGTTTAATTTATTGTATTTTACAAATAAATTATTTCAATATTTATCTAAATCTAATTTGCATTCGTGCTTTACAATAATCTTTTATGTTATACGAATAAACTTATTAAAATAGTTTTTTTTTTTTTTAAATAGTTACCTTATAACTCTCATTTTTAAGAGCGAAAGACTAACCTGGGTCATTTCAATATTATTTGTTCATGAGAGAGACTTATTTGGAGTCTATATGATTAAACCAATAAATAGTAACCTTTCCATTCTTTTTTAATAGTTTTATCCTCCGAATGGTTATGGTCCAATGTAATCCTAAGTCATTCATGTACCCCTCTTTTACTCAGATGCCTGCCAGTGCATTTCTTGTAGATTTAATTTTTTGAGTGGTTAATTTTGTGTGAGAGAATGGGAAATAAAAGATTATAGTTATAAATTGTTTATTTAGAATTTAAATTTAGAGAAAAAATGGATATTTATTTATTCTATGTTCCAATTATAAATCGGGGAAGATCCGGTAGCATTAAATAAAATTGGCCTTAATGATTGGATATAGAAAAATAATTAATTGTGGATATTTGTAAAGATTTGAGGGGTAAATATGTAAAAGTGACAGCTAAGAATCTCATGCCATTGCCATGGGATGCGGAAGAAACGAAACATCCACAGAAAGCAACCTCTCCATCCTATTTACAAAATTAGCCCTACAGAAACTACATTATTCCGGAATTGCACTCAACTTCGCCCTAAATTTTCTACCCCTACCACTCCCCTTCTGCAAACCCCTTCTGGGAGGCTTCCTAAACTCCTCGTCGGAAAACGCGACAGGGGAGACCGCCGTGCGTCGAGATCCAGATTTTTCAGTCCCTCCGGCGCCGGCCTTGATAAGCGCGGAGCTGGCCTTGACGGCGAGTGCGGCCATCTCCTCCGGGTGCAGCGGCTGGTTGAGCCTGTCCAAGGGCAGGGCAAAGTAAAGGTGGCCGAGTTGGAGGTGGTCGTCGTCATGGACGGCGTAAACGGCGTCGTCGAAGTCCATGTCGTCGGAGTTGCAAATGAAAGTGGCGGGGTGTTTGTGTAGGAGAAAGGAGACCTTAACTGGGTAGGAGAACTCGAGCAGTGTGCCGTCGGTTAGAATCAGCTTGGCGGTGGCCACGTTGACGGAATCGGAGGAAATGCAAATACCCATTTTGGAATTTACTTGAGTTTTTTGGTTTGACGAAGTCAGTGAGCGGAGGAGAATGGGGAAAGGCGGATGGGTATATATAGGGAGGGAGATGCGGCGAGGTATGAGTCAGAGTGCCACGTAGGATTTGGTTTGTCGTGTAGTTGGGTGTTATGCCAGGCTGTATTATGAGTGGTGACAGGGTGGAAGATTTGGTGGGAATTCTATTAATAAAATGGGCCTCTGGTTTTTGAAATGATTTTAGGTTTACGTAGAATTAAGATTTGGTGAATTCCCTAAACTAACAACCCCTTTCCTTTTCAACATAATTCAAACCATAGGTCTAAATAATTAACACTAAACAAATATTTCCAATCTTCTTCTCAAACTTTTTGAAACGCATTTTCTGTCTTTATGACACTCCTGTTTCACCGTGTAGTTTATTGAAAAAAATAAAATGTTTATTAGGAAGATATAAAGTTTAAAAAAAAAAAAGTTTATATCGAAAGTGAAAGGAGAGATTGGTTATAAAGGGAGTGAAAGGGACATGAAGTGGGGAACGACATTGAGTTACCACCTAACACGTCTTATAATTGTTCCATCTCCATCTTCAAGCTTATGACATTTTAACGAGGATTTGAGTGAAAATATAATACATTCTTAAGTTATCTGTAACAGTCGTGAGGGAATATGATCCAAAACGTTGATTTTGGCTTTATTTATTTGTCTTTTCCATTATTTATTTATTTTCCCCCTCTTTTACTTTATGCCTGCCTTCCTCTCAAATCATCCATTTAATTTAATAAAATTAAGGATAATATCAATGATATCTCAATGATGGGAGGAATTTGTATAATGTGATACATTTATGAATGAATGAATGAATGATAACAACCCCAACAAAGAGATCCATGAGGGCAGAAATCCGACCACAGAAGATGGCGGTCTGAACAGTGTAGGGTGGATGCGAAGCCTGGGAGAGACGAAGGACACAGACACCCACTTGTCTATGTTTCACTATTCCTGTGTGTTGTGTCCAACAACATGTGCATTCCTTAACAACTAAACTTATCCCATGTCTTTTTCCTTTTCTTTAGCTCTCATGTCTCAAGCCCCACATGCACATCCGTATAATTCACCAATATAAAGTCCCCTTTCCTTCTACCTCAATTATTGTCCTTCTTCCTTTAAACAAATCTACACCTAATACGTCTTTCATTACCACATTATTTATAGATGGGTTTCTCATACCTCATTTCTTCTATGTTTTTGTATGCTCCACTATTTCACTGTTCACCTTCTTTTCTCTTCATTTATATGTCTACGTGTTTGATAATAATCTCCTTGTTTACTACTAATTTTCTTTTACATCCTTGTTTCATCAAGATATTAAGGGACTAAAGATGCAATAAGAAAATGTGTGGATCTTTTAGAAAAAGAGGCAACAATATAGCTAAATGATATAATATATATAATACCTCAATGCGTACTTCATGGAGAAGCATCCTTAACTTGGAAGTAATAACTTTAGCTTAATCAATTTCTTTTACACTTTTTACTGACATGGAGTAAGCCAAAATAGAGAAATATCATTTGATTAACATCGTCTTTCTAGCTCCATTTGCATTATCGGTTTTCCAATCGATCTAATAACAATCGATGACAAAAGGGTACGAACAAATTCTATGATACGTTCTCCATTTTGTTTTTTCATATATTTATTTAAACCAAACCCATCGTAAATACTTTAACAATAAAGCACGAAAAGGACGTGAAATTTAGATAAAATAAGGAAAAATGAAACAATGCTCTAATCTAACCTAAAGGCTACAATAACATGAACACATTTATCTTAGCTTTAGTTCCTTGTTTGTTACTACGATGTCTGCATCTGTCTAGAGGTTTCTTACATTTACCTAAAAAAATAAGAGTAACACATGACTTAGTATTTTAAGAAATACTCAATGAGCTACCTCACTATTAGGATCAGGAAATGCATACACAATAAATCATAGGGGAGTTATCCTTACATTCGTTAGCCTTGAACTCTACTTTCCAGTCCTAGCTAAAAATTGGATGTGTAATATTTTTATATACACGGCCCAAACACGCACACATGAACCTACAAGATGGGCATATATGTACCTTCTGGGCCTACTATTTAATTAGCACACACTCAAGCCGTCGGAGCCACGTAGGGAAAGGAGCCCGCATAATATTGTCATGTGTACAATACCGTATTATAACATTATGGCGTAAAGTAAGCGTTCATACTAATCATAATGGGAAAGTATCCATATGCACATGACATAAAAATATGCATGAGATCCCCATAGCTACATTCGTTCTTTCGTAAACACTTTCATGAATACTTTCTTGACATGTCAACATTTCACAATCTAGAATATAATCATGCTAACATGGAGTGAATGACATATCATAGCATAACATAAGTTATAGTAAATCATCACATAGTTATGACATAACATAACACAAGTCATAAAATACAACATGTGGAGGGGCCACGGAACACACATCGTTCATACATCATTCAATTCATCCAACCATGTGTATTAAATTATTGACTCATTCAACAATTTTTTAAATTAAATTAAAGTGGTGATGATTAAAATTGGGAATTAAGCATAAAATGAAGAGGTGTTGATTTGTAAGTAAACCAAACATAAGAACTCATAAGTTTGTTGGGAAAGGTTGAAGAGTATAACCTCAACAACCGGCAAACCCAAACAATGTGCTCTCTCACTCCCAAAATTTGTAGACATAAAAAAAGGCTACAAAAAGAATCTGATCAGAAAATCATATTAAAAAATAAAAAATGTTGAATAGACTTGTGGAGAAGGAAGAGAGAATAAAAGTTGCGTCTTGCAATTGGGTTACCCAAAGTGCCAAAGTCCAATATATCATTATTTCCAATCATCTTCCGTTTCAATCTACATTATTACTTTCTTTCTTTCTTTCTTTTTTTTTTTAAAAAAGTTAACCAGAAGTGAATTACTAAAGAACATGTGTCCTTCCAGAAACAAAATTCTTCGAGCTCACTAGTGCCCTATAACTTGTGTGATCTTCATGAACTAGGCCTTCAAATAGTTTTCTAAACTCGTTTGTAGGAATGCATATCTGATCATAGTAGTTGATCAAAGACTAAAGAAGTAATGAAATAAGCCCTTCACCCAAATTGGACTATCTAGCTCTAAGTATGAGTATTGGGTGAACAAAGGTGTTCCTCTCAGGCTTAGAATCTTCAGAAATGTGGCCTAGTAAATTCTTGGAGATCTGTACTATGTTAATCTGAAATGCCATCTTTTCCTCCCCTCGAGAAGCCTCCATTTTGCCGCTTTCTTGGCTGAAAAAATGTTTGGGAATCACACAACAGTGTGCGCAAGCTCCTAGCGCTACGATGCTTGGTGCCTACACTACAATGTAAACTTCCTTGGCGCCACACTACCAAGAACTTCGTGCTAATGAGTGGCTCCTTCGTCTCAGCATCATGTTCGGTACATCTTCGTTCGATGCGCAGCGCCTATGCTTCCTCTGCTCGACTTCTCTTTGCCTAGCCTTCGACCTCGGTTTGCACCGAGCGTGATTGAGCTCTGAAGACCCAACACTTGTGTCCAAAATGCAAGGCTGAATAACATTAGCCTTCGAAATCTGAAACGGGAATCGAGTTATTCGACAAGTGCCCAACTGACCTCAAATGATCGGTTAACTGATCCAGCAAGGGATATATACCGCTTGTTTCATGCCTCTTGTCATCAACCATGAACTCTGTAATACACTCATCAATCTCAATGAAGCTAACAGCTTTACACTTGATGATCCCATGGTCATTCATCAGTTTTCTTATATTCTTCACTTCTTTCCATCTATTTGCTTCAAAATATATGTTTGACAGAAGAACGTAGAGCCCAGAACTGTATGTCTCCAACTCCAGAACCTGTTTCAAGATTTGATTCCCGATGTCCACATTCCCGTAAGTCCTACAAGCACCAAGCATAGCGCCCCACACAACCACATCTGGCTTCATTGGCATTCCTCCAATGAGTTTTACTGCTTCCTGCAACAGCCCTCCTCTTCCTAGCAAGTCCACCATGCAAGCGTAATGCTCGATTTCAGGAAGAATCCCGTAAACGGAACTCATTCTCTCGAATAAATAGCGTCCCATGTCGACAAGTCCGCTATGGCTACAAGCAGATAGCAGTCCAGTGAATGTGATTTCGTCGGGCCAAATCCCCGAAGTATGCATCATATTGAATAGTTTGAGTGCATGCAGGCCATAGCCATGTAATGCAAGTGCCTGGATAATAACATTCCAGGACACTAAATTCTTATCTTTAGACTCAAAGAAAAAATCCATGGTGGTTTCGAGGGCACCACATTTTGCATACATGTCGATGAGGGAATTCGAAAGAGTGGCAGTGATCATGATATTGTTGCTGCAAATGTAACAATGTGCTTTCTTTCCCATGGCTAAATCACCAATTTGACTACAGGCTGAAAGAACACTCACTAGAGTAGCCTCATCAGGCATGATGGTTGTCTCACACATCTGTTGAAAAAGAAGCAATGCTTCCTTGCATCGACCTTCTTGGACATAACATGAGATCATTGAATTCCAAGAGATCACATTCTTCTCAGGAATTTGATCAAATACCTCACGAGCATAGCGAAAAAGGCCATGTTTTGAATATGCACTAATCATGGAAGTATGCGAAACAACATTTTTGTCGATCATTCTATCGAAGATTGTCCGAGCAGAAAGCAAATCCCCACACTTAGCATACATATCCAGCATTGCATTTCTTAAAATTTGATCAAACTCAGTCCCAGTAATCTCTACATACAGATGCACACATTTACCCATATCTAAGTTATAACTTCTTGTACAAATGGAAAATAGATGAACCAACGTGAACAGATCCGGCTGAAATCCCCACACTCTCATATCTCGAAACAGCAAAAAGGCTTCCTTACAGAACCCATTCCTAGAGTACCCACCAATGATCGAATTCCAGGACACCAGAGTTTTATGTGACATTTCATCGAACAGTTGGCGTGCGCATTGGACAAAACCACAAACGGCATAAACATTGATAAGAGCATTCTGTACGCAAACATGAGACAAAATCCCGAGTCGAATAGCATGGCAATGGACAAGAAGAACTTCCCAATACGCAAGCTGAGAAGCACAAGCTTTGAGCACAAATGGGAGAGTAAATTGATTGGGCAA